ACTATCACAAATTGCCCGAAATCGTCAGTGTATGAAGATGAAATGTTTATTCAGCTTCATGCTTCCTTCTGGAGCTTCTAGTTTCTGATCAACTGGCGCTGTTGCTTTGTATCTATGACAACCTTTGTATCTATGACAACCCTGAGGTAGAAGGGGTTGGTGGGGCAACACTGTTTACCTCAGGGTAAGGGAGCAACAGAGAAGGAGGCTAGAATTTTGTTTTTCTCTGGGTGACCTAAGGACCCCCCACTAGATTCTATCCACTAAGGATTCCATCACCTCTCACTAGCACCATACAGATGAAACCTTTGTTTGGTTTTTAGAGACAGGGTTTCTCTGTGTCGCCCTGCCTGTCCTGGAACTAGCTCTTTAGATTAGGCTGACCTTGAACTCACAGAGATTTGCCTGTCTCTGCCTCCCAAGTGCTGTGATTAAAGACGTGTACCGCCATGGCCCTGCAGGACCAAACCTTTAAGACATCCAACATTGACATTATGTAGCACCTGATTGGCTAGAGATGGCAAGAAAAGACTCAGATGCCCTTGAAAGGAACCTATAGTGAAGGAGAGGGGAAGGCTGATTGGTCACCCCAAGCAGACTCGAAGATGGCTACGACATGACAGGCTGAAACTAAATGTCCCTCCACTCAGTCTCTAGGGCCATGTCTTGGGCTCATGCATGGAAATGAGGGTGAGTTTCTGTGTGCATGGAGGCAGAATAGCTGGGCTTGCTGTCCACCTGAACCAAGTCTGTTTAGCAGAGTCCATCAGTCCTGAACATCACAAGGAGACCAAAGAACTTAAATATCAGAGGGATATTTAACAAGACTTCTGCTTACATACCAATCTTGTGAAGGAACGGCTACTGCCAAGTGGAAGTCAAGACAGTCAAGATGACAGACATTTCTTTGTGGATCTGACATGTTCATTTCACACTGACTTTGTACTAGAAATTGAGTTAGTCAGGGGACACTAAGGATTGGCATAACCTGCCTGCAAGGAATGCCTTGTTGGGTAGAGAGTACCGTAGCCATCCCTGCCCAGGTAGACACAGTGCAGAGAAGCCTGGATTGCTGGATGTTGGACTTCCTGTGAGAAGTGGCACTGAGCAGTGCCTCTAGGTGACAAATGCAGCAGGAGAAACTCCTGTAGTCAAATTTCAGACGCATGTCTTCCTTTTACTCCTCTGAAGGCAGTCTGGCCACCTAGGGCTGGGGCTAAGTACAGATGTTCCACTAAGAGGCTAAAGGTTACCCACTGGCCAATGTGTGAAGTCTTGGGTGTTTGTGTGGTCACTTCAGCATCAGAACTCTCTGTCCTGCACTCTGCGAGCTCATCCATAGGCAAAAACATTTCCCATGAACTCAGCCAATCTGGAGCTCATGGTGGAGACACAGGGACCACACTCCCCACCCCAGCCTGGCTGCTGTCTGCCCAGACTGGAATGCTCCCCAGGAGGAACCCAATCACCAACTCCTGCCTATGTCTGCTTTCCATCACCCTGTTCTCTCAGCTACCCCTGACACTGAAAAAATACTTTGCAATAGCCAACTATCTGCTGCCTGTGCAGAAACCTCACCTTCCCAAGGGAGGCTGAGATGGTAAAGTGGCCCGTGGGGGCACTTCAGTTCATGATTGGTTTAGGTCTGGGGTGCTGTTCTGGTGCTGGGGCCTTCACTGAGGGCAAGATGCTTTCTGGCAGAGGTCTGAGTTATAATGAGGCTCTGTTTGTTTCAGAATCTCAGTTTGGTACCCTGGGGGTGGTGGCTAACAGAGCCAGAGAGCACTCTAGATCTTTCCTCCCAGTTTTTTTTTTTTTTTTTGGTTTTACCAGACAGAGTTTGTCTGTATTGTTTTGGAGGCTGTCGGTCCAGCCTGGCCTCAAACTCACATAGATCCACCTGCCTCTGCCTCCCAAGTGCTGGGATTAAAGGCGTGTGCCACCACCGCCGGGCTCCTTCCTCCCAGTTTCTTAAGTTGCTGTCAATAGGACTTTGGCAAAACCTGATCTTCATCTCCCTCAAATAAGTTGGAGAGACAGCAGAAGTCTCTGCCCTCACACATGTCAGCAATCGAGTGAAGTCCCGGGAGGCCTCACACCCCTGCCTGCTGAGTATCACGGGGGTGCTGGTCTTGTTTGAAGCCAAGAGCTCATAAGCATCCTATGTGTTGGAAAGGGAGACATTGTAATACCACCTTTTCATTGTGGAGTTAGGGTTTGCCAGGGTGCCTAGGGATTTGATGCAGCGAAGGGTAGTAGGGCTGCTGACACACTGGGTGCCTCAAATGTTGTGCAGCGAAGGGTAGTAGGGCTGCTGATACACTGGGTGGCTCAAATGTTGTAGAAATTCCTTTCACTGACCCTCTTTGTCCAGGCTTTCCCTGTGGTCTGGTTGGGATATTTAATAACTGAGAAGTCTGGCAGGAATTGGACCAGTTCATGGAAGGTAAGATATGTTCCTTAACATGGAGTATGGTTTCCATGGGTCAGTTGAAGATGCCTTCCACAGTCAGGGCCAGGATCATAAAGGTACTACCCTGAGGAAAAGTGGGGGCTGGAGCCAGAAGAGTTACAGTACCTACCCCTGGGGATCATAGCCATCAGGCCTTGTACCGAGAGTACATCCATTGGAGGTAGGAGCACAGGTGCGGGGAATGCACGAAAGAGTTGATCATGTTCTTGAGGTTATATTGCATGCATTTCTGTGCTCACCAAAAGGCTTACTGAAGACCAGGGATATAGTTGCTAAGAGACCAGATGGGTATAAGTGGAGATTTTTTCTAATGGTGAACAGTTTCGTAGAATGTATGTTGTATATTTCAGGCCACCAGACTTCTTCAAAAGATGGTAACATGAAATAAGAGATTAAGCAAATGTAGAAAGTAGTACAGTGTAGAAAACCATCCCCATCCTGGATAGAGCATGGAAAAAAACAGAAATCCACTCAGAGGGAGGAACACTTTTATCTACCAAGGAGTAGGACAAGCTGAGAGGCAACTTAGGTTAAGTTCAAAATGACAAATACTGAGTAGTAGGAAGTACTTGTTACAAACAAGGGCTACGGGAGTCCAGAAGCCCAGGAGAGGTTCAATCACTCCAACTAACTGCTCATACACTCAAGCCAACAGTTTCCACCATGCTCTAGCATCATCTATTGAAAGGATTCTTTGAATTACTTCGGGCAAATATTCAAAAATCAAGTGGGCATATTTGCTTGGATCTGTTTTTTAGGTCATCTCTCTCTAGTGTCCAGTCTACCGCCCCTTACTCCTCCAACTGATATTACACAAACTTGATTACTCTTGTAGTAATAGCTTTTGAAATCAGATAGCCCAGATATTTCTACACATTATTTTAACATTTCCTTTGCCTTTTCGCGCGCGCGTGCCTCTGTCCATCCACGCTGCCCAGACACGGCTGACTCTGATCATGCCCATCTTTGCATCTCATGTGTCCCTCAAGAAGACAGAGGACTGTGTTAACCTCTGGGAAAAGCTATGGGGATAAAACACAGCCCTGGCCTGTGCGAGCTCAGCAATAGCAGCAGCTAGCCCCCTCTGCTCATGCGTCTCCGTGTCTAAGGCAAAAGGCACTAAGTCCAGACAGCCACTCGGCCTTGGACTGTTCGAGCTTCATGAGGGATCGATCCTAAGGAAGAAATGGCCGTGCCGCTTCCACAGTTGATACCATTGAGACTTCAAGCCTTTCCCCAAGATCACAACGTCAGTAAGTGACAAAATCCTAGTCCCTTTCCCTGCCATTCACTGAGCCCTTGGGAGGCTCTCTGTAGTTGCTGAATGAGTGGGAAAAGGTCAAAATGAATTGTGCCCTGTCTGCTGAGACGTTTTCCCAGAGGTAAGAAAGCAATTGCTCTCTGCCCTTCTGGATTTTTTATTACTGTGACCACACCCCTGTCGCAGGCCTTAGGAACCCATTAGGGGTCCAGTGGCAGCAACGCCCTCACAGTTTGAGCATTAGGGGTCCAGTGGCAGCAGCGCCCTCACAGTTTGAGCATTAGGGGTCCAGTGGCAGCAACGCCCTCACAGTTTGAGCATTAGGGGTCCAGTGGCAGCAGCGCCCTCACAGTTTGAGTGTTTGAGCGAGCACTTCACCTCCCCAGGAGACCTCGTCTCACACCCTTCTGACTGGTTAATTCCGGTTTGCTCACTGGTGGGCGAAGGTCTAGCCTGAACCTGATCCAGGGAAGTCAGGGGACTAACCCTGAGGTGTAAGAAGGCCCAGTGCAGATGAACGGCAACCCCGGAGTTCTCAGGACCTACTGCCATAAGAGGCGAGGGGGTGTGTTCAAGGATCCATGCCCAACATCCCGGGGACCCAGATTTATGTAAAGATTGGCCTGGCCTTTTCTGTGCTCCCCACACACCCCTCAACTTCCATGAGCAACTGGGCTTGCTCAACCGAGTTTGGGGGACAAAGCAGAGCAGCCACCCTAGTGACAGGAGTCTATAGCGGCTTGTCCTTGATGCTGCCGGGACAGGGGAGCTTCTATTTACCCAAGATGATCACCTGCCAAGGCTAGCCTTGCCTGCCCTGGGAGTCCTGACAGAGGCCCCTTCAGGCTTCCTCCCCTGCAGAGGCCTCAGCACTGCAAGAGCTCAGCCGGCTCCCAGTGAACCCCAAGTGACCCTCAGGGGCTTTATTTTCATTTCTTCTTGGCAGCATGTAACTTCCTGCTTCTAAGAAAAACATCTTTAAACAGAGCCATGAGCCGGTTCCAGGGTGTCCCTCACGTCCCCCAGCTCCAGCGGAACACCGTGATGAGCTGAGTGGAGCTCATTGGAAGCACATGGTGCCTGCTTCCTTTCAAAGTCCCCAAGAGTCTCAGGCCTGGAGGAGCGGGGGTGGGGGCGTTGATAAATCATGTTGCAAGTGTTATCTAGTCTCACGTTTGAGAGGAGAGGCCAGGAGGAGGAGGAGTTGGGGGGGGGGGTGATGCACACAGGGGAGAGTGAGTCTGTCTGCCCAGGCGAACGGGTGTTTATTAGGCACCTACCACCACGAAGCCCAGGAGAGCAGTAAGCCTAGGGTCAGTGAGGACCTGTGTGGAAATAGCTTCAGAGCGTGTCATGGAGAAGGCGCGGTCAAGCTTGGTGTGGGCAGGCTGTGAGGCAGAGGAAAGTTCTTCAGGGAGTAAGTATAAGGATTCGGGCATTGTGCTGGCCCGCCCCGGGCATTAACTGGCGGAATTCACTCAGGCAGTGCCCTGGTCAGCCCAGGGTTCCGAGGTTGCGCAGTCTGTACAGACAGACCCCAGTCCACTTACGCTCTTTTTCTGCTCCCCTCCCTTTCTGCCCCCCCCCCACTTCCCCACTGTTCCCCTGGGGCAGACAGGACTTTCCCTGTCTCCCTCTTCTCTTCTGTCCTCTCTCTGTTTCTCTTCTCTTTCCTCCCCTCCCCTTTCTAGTAAAACTTCTCACTTAAGCTTTGTCTGCCTGGCATGTTTGTCCTCTGCCAAGGCCCCCCCATGCAAGGTTCCCCTCACGCTTTATCACAACAGTAAGGGTGAGGCATCCGGGGAGCTCTGTCTGTGCTCCCTCTGTGGATCAAGGAGGTCTCAGTTTGTGTGATCCTGAGAGGAAGGTTCTAGTCGTCTTCCAATCTTCTCTGAATACACAGGCAGATTCATCTTCCTCTCCCCACCCTCCAGAGACCAGGGAGCTTCAAGTGAGGCTTGCACAGAGATTCAGCAAACCTGCTAAGGTGAAGTTCTGGATACAACAGCGTGGGACAGAGAGGAGCCTAAAAAAGGAAGTTCTGAGAGCTCAGGAGCACTGCATTACCCAGAGAGGCGCCGCCAAGGAGGGAATTCTGTTAGCACTGGCTGTGGAACCCCCAGCTAGGGAAAGCAAATGGCCTTGCTCTCTGTCCTGGCCGCGATTTAGGTCAGGTATGGGCTTGGTGACTGTAAGAGTGTGGCATTCCTTTGTCACTAGTACCCTTACAGACTTGGGGAAGCAGCATCCTGTCTTGGAATTTTACACAGGATCTTACAGTCGGGGTCAGGGTGCTGACCGTTTCTGACATGTGTTCACTTCTCTGTGCACGGGGAGCAACGACACTCGGGTGGTAGGGCTTGTTTGTTTCCGGGTTTTCTGCCATGTTTTACTTTTGTGTTCATCTTTTTGTCTCAAGAAGGTCACAGTGGCTTCTGAGCACATAGGACAGAATAAAATGATTTAAAAATGAAGGGAGAGAAGCAAAGATAGAAAGATTTAAACCAGTCCACGAACAACTAAAAACTGCATACCATAATTTGAGTCCTGCTTAGAAGGGTTTTCTGATACCCATGTGATAATGGGACCCAATAGCTCCATAGTTGAAGGAAGTCTCAGGGTGAAAAATACCAAATCCCCAGAGACTCCCAACTGTCTCCCGTTCCAAAACGGGGCGAGAACTGAGCCTGGTTATGTTTTTCTAATATCTGAATCTTTAATTATAAGTTGAAAAATATAGTTAAATACATTCATGAGACATGAAATGGAGTTACGATCTATGAGTGAGTGTGAAATAATTAAATCAAGTTAGTTATTACATTCGCCACCTCAAATCTTGCCTCTTCGAGGCAAACACGGTGAACGGAGTGAATGAACATAGCGTACATTTCAAAACAACGACGATGGAATCGTGAATGTTCTCACCTGCCGTGGTCTTTTGTTTATTACGCTGTTTTCATTATCATACTAAACAACGGGTTTCACCGGGAGGTTTCCTTGCGTCTCTCTCTGTAGACGTCATTGCACCTGCGTTCATTCCTGCCCTCACTGTCCTCCTTCACACCTCCCTCTTCTTCCCCCAGAGACTCCGTTCTGACTTCCCTTGTGATCGTGAGAGAAGCAGTGCAGGGGCCGTCTTTCGTCCCTCTTTCCCTGTCATCCCTCTTGTTCCCCTCCCCCATCTTCTCATAAGGCTTCCTCTCACAGCCTGCCTTTGCCGGGCCCAAAGAAACCCAGGACAAATGACTGACTATAGTGACAATTTGCATATCAAAGCTGGGGCTGGCCTCCAGGCTCTCAGGGCCCAAGTACCTGGTGTGGAGTCCTTGCTGGCAGCCGGGCTCCTCTCAAAGCTCTTCTCACCCTGCCCTCTCTAAACTTCTCCAGTTTCCCTTCCTCCAACTTCCCACTCCTGTATAAGCCAATCATTTCAGCAGCCCTTCCTTGGCTCCTGCCTCTCTCTCTCTCTCTCTCTGTCTCTGTCTCTCTCTCTGTCTCTCTGTCTCTCTCTCTGTCTGTCTCTCTCTCACACACACACTCTCTCTCTCTCTGTCTCTGTCTGTCTCTCTCTCTCTCTGTCTCTCTGTCTCTCTCTCTGTCTCTGTCTCTCTCTCTCACTCTCTCTCTCTCTGTCTGTCTCTGTCTCTGTCTCTCTCTCTGTCTCTGTCTCTCTCTCTGTCTCTCTCTCTCTGTCTGTCGGTCTGTCTCTCTCTCTGTCTCTCTCTCTGTCTCTGTCTCTGTCTCTCTCTCACTCTCTCTCTCTCTGTCTCTGTCTCTCTCTCTCTCTGTCTCTGTCTCTCTCTCTCTGTCTCTCTCCTGTATGGGCCACAGCTTTCGTTGCTAACTAAAATCAAGATTTAAGAACTTTGACAAGAACCTGTGTGGAGAAAGGGTTCTCTACCACCTGAGAAAAAATTGAGTCAGGTCTGGCTTCATGCTCAGAGAGAGAGAGAGAGAGAGAGAGAGAGAGAGAGAGACAGAGACAGAGACAGAGACAGAGAGATACAGTCTTTCTTTCATGGAAAATCATTTCAGATCCACACAAACTAGTCCAGGCACCCAACATCTGCACATACAGATTGCTTACTAAAAATGCCCAGTAGTCTCTGTCTCAACGCCGTTCAAAGCAAATGAGCTCAGTTAGTGACCACAATAGAAACCAATCTCCATGAAGCTCTCCAAATGTGCCCTGGAGCAAACGGTGCCTCCCAGGCCAATGTTAGTGAAACGGTCTATTTGAGCTGATATTTGGAGGCTGGAGAAGTTGCTGAGTGGTTAGGAATGCACACTGCTTTGACAAAGGACCTGAGCTCAGTTCCAAGCACACAGGTAAGGCAGGTCACAACAGCTCATAACCCCAGCTCTAGGAGTCTGACACCTTTGGCCTCCACAGGCACTTAAGCTGCTTGCACATGCATAGGTAATTCTTTTCTCAATATATGTTTTTATTTAAATTAGAAACATGAATGCTTCACATGTCAGTCCCAGCTCCCTCTCCCACCCCTCCTCCCTTGTCCCTCCACCAGCCCCCCACCCAATCCCCACATCATTCCCCAGGGAGGGTGAAGCCCTCCTTGGGGGGATCTCTAAAGTCTGTCATTTCATCCAGGGCAGGACCTAGGACCTTCCCCATGTGTCCAGGCTGAGAGAGCATCCCTCTATTTGGAATGAACTCCAAAAGATCATTCATAAACCATGGTAAACACTGATCTACTCTCCAAGGCCCCAGTGATTTCTGTGGCCTCCTCCCTGGCACTAAATTCATGGAGTTTGTCAGTCCCCTGTTGGCCTTTCAGCCATCAGTTTGGGATTCAAGAGCTCCCCCTTATCCGGTCAGCTGTCTTTGTGGGCTTCATCATCATGGTTTTGACCCCTAAGCCCCGTAGGATGAGGATTATGTAAAAAACTGCAAAATAAATTTGAGGTTAGTTGGGTTGCCATAGAAGTGACACACAGCTCCAGCACTCAGATCTTTGGGCCATGACTATATTTTCATGATACACTCACCATCTGACCTGAAGAAGATAATACTTGCCTACATTTTCCACCCCAGAAGGCTATGTATGAGATGACTCGTGAAGGAGCCTGAGGGTTTTCAAAGACAGGATACTTTTCTTTCTCATGACTTAATCCTGTAACAGTGATGTCCATAATGGTAAAACGCAGGCGATGCTGAAAGTATGGGAAACCTCCCCTTTCCCTTCTGCCTCTTCTCCAAACACAACAGCTCCCCAGTTTCTGCTGCCACTTTCCTGGCCATGGCAAGCCCTTTGTGGCTACAGACAGCATGCTCGGAGCCCACTCTCCTGACCTGACAACTTTCAGCAGTGTCTCTCACCATCCCTCATTAAAAATCAAGTTTAAATCATGTGCATCACAGTGTTCTTAGACCAGACTTTATGATTTTAATTTGACTTTTGGTCTTTTAGTTTTGTGTCTTTCAAATGTTCTTAGAGCTGTGTCTTTACCTTCATTTACAAGATGCCATTTTCCCACCCACTATTTGAGGCAAAGGAATGGAAGTGTCTGCCCTCCATGCTCTCACCCCTTCTCTACAATTCCTCTCCTGCCAGTTTCGTTCTTGCATTAGACTCTATATCTGCCTAGCTATGTATCTAGCTACATCTGTAGATATATCTAGGGGCAGATTTCTCTAGGGATGTGTGTGTGTGGGGAATACCACGTTTATTCTCTTCTGTCTGCTGATACCTTCTATCTCTATTTTCATGATATAAAAACATTCACTTCTGCGTTTCTTTATTGGCAGTTCCTTAGAAAATCAAAGAACAAAGAGATTAATAGTAGATACAGATGATATGTAGATGGGTGATGGATCATCACTAGATGGTAGACAGACAGATAGACAGACAGACGATATCTAACTACTGACTAGATGATAAAATGGATAGACAGACTATGATTTTGAACTTAACATCATTGCTGGGAAGATGGAAGGCTCTGTTGAGAGATCATTCCTGCTGACTAATGGTGTAAGTTCTCTAAGTCTGAGTAGTGATTCAAAGACGAAACTTGTCGACCTCATGCAGCCTTTTGCATAAACAAGTTACACTGATAAGTTAAGGGTCACTGGCAGGCCCGTGAAATCACCAACAAGCCACCATCATTATGATGCTCTCCCTAGAGACAAACTGTTGGATTTCAATTTGCACTATCCAGCCCTCTGGCCGCACATAGAAAATGCAGGCTTGAAAAATCTTGGCCACCAGTGTCTCCGTCAGGAATCAGGGCAGCATTTGAATAGAGTTTTTGGACCTGAAGATGCAAGCGGTTTTTCTGTGACCCGTTTCTCTTTACTGCATCACACAGACTTGTGTGTGTAGAGGCAACAGAGGTGAATAGAGTTTGGGGAAGCAAGACTACCCCCACACAATTCTGAGGTCCTTTGGTGGCCTAGGTTTGGAGCCAGTTCCTTGGACTAAGGCTCCCCACATGGCCACAATGTGCTTGCCTTAGTCTGTTCTGCTTTCCACAGACTGGGAACTTGAATAGAAGTGATCTGTGTTCTCACAGCTGTGGAGGTTGGGAGTTGCAAGACAAATATCCTAGAGGGGTTTCTGATTCTTGCAAGGGCTATCTTCAGGGATTGCAGATGGTCATATTTTCACTGTATGCTCTCTCAGAGGGCAGAGGCATGCTCGAGGGAGGGAGAGAGGCCTGCTATCTTTCTGTGTGGTCAGGGCGTCTCATTCATCCTCTCTCAATTCTCCTGAAGGCTTCAACCCTAATTCAGCTACATGGGTAGCAGCTTAGGACTTCGGCATATGAATTCTAAGGACGTCATCAGGTTCACAGAGGTGCCTCAGAGCGACCAGTGGCATTGAATGCACATTAGAGCCAATGAATGTCATGGAGATCTGGGTCCTCCTTACTCCCCGAGTGTCCTCTGGTGAGTTCTGACTGTAACCGCTTGTTTCAGCAACCTTACCCATAAGGCCTGTCTATGATAAAGGACAGTCACTCTGATACTCTAGTTTTTTTTTCTTGTGTCTGCGTTCCCCACAACGCGCTGGAGTAGCAGTGTAATGGTGTAAGACCATGGACATTTCTAATCTAGGTTCTATTTGTGAGCTTGGGCAAATCCTAGCCTTACCTTCTTCATCTGTGAAATGGGAACCCTAACACCCATCTCCAGGCTTTGGGGACCTCAGTAGATCCTGAAGGTCAGACTTGTAGCGTTGTGCATGGTGCTGCCCATGGAGATTCACCCCCACAGACACACACAGATTCTTTTCTTACCTTTTCAATGGCCAGGGACTTTCTACAGTTCTCTTTGGAAGCCCTGCAAAACATAAATGTCCTGAAATATTTTCAAATGTCCCCTTTCTTAGGGCTATTTAGATACAGCTAGGTTCAAGGCGTGCTTCCAAGAATAAAAGCAAAGCCCCTCTGGTTTCCTGCATGACAGCAAGTCAGGTCCCTTGGTTTTCTCTCCCACATTCTTGAGAGGTTCTTCCACCCACAGTCCCACCTGGCCTGCCAGTCCACCCCCTGGCACTCCTCGGGAAGTTTCCAGAGCAGGGTGTCTCAAGGTTTACCGCTAAGCCTGCTAGTGCCTGTTTGGTGCTTCTTTGCAGAGTGACAAAAAGGCAGGTAGGGACCTTGCAACCCTGGAGATGACAGGAGTACTTAGAACCATGTCTGGCCCACCAGTGACACTCCATAGATGGTATTAAGGAGAATTTTCCCTTAGGGTATCAGCTCTGACCCCGGCCCTCCATGCCACATTTCTTTTGGTTTTGCTCACTGCTCCAACCCCAGTGCCAAGAGAAGTGTGCTGACTGACGATGATGCAGGATGGGTACTTACAGAATGAAGGATTCAGGCAAGATCTCTTGAAATGGCTTTCCATCATCACGTGACCCCGAGGCACACGATGAAGCATGTATGAGGTCTTGCCAAGGTACATACTTCAAAGACCATGCTGCGCAGCATGGGTGGAAAGGAAAGGCAGTCCAAAAGAGATAAGATGGTTCAACGTGAGCAGAACTAGAGGCACAGGACTCCGTGTGCACTCTCTCCCCCAGGCACAGCCTCTTACATCAGCAACCTTGGGCTACTCAGAACAGTCTCTGCGTTGCCCAGATGTTAGAGTACAGCAGTCAGAGGGCCAGACCTGAACTTAGACTCACTCTGCCTGTAACAGCTGGGGTCAATTCTGCAAGTGTTCATCTCTCCATCCTAGCAGATCTCAAATCCTAGCAACAGAGCTTTCACAAGCCTAAGTCAATTGTGAGGGTTTGCATCTCTTTTATTACATGTCACCTTGGTAAACCTCTGCCTCCATTCCCCTTCCTCTGGTTTCACATACGCTTGGGCCTTTGTTTCTACTGGTGACTCCTGTTCTTGAACACTGGCCCATGTGTGCAAATACCCAGCCATGCACACATACGCACACACGCCAATGGTGACCATGCTCTCTGCATCACCAATTCCAGCCTGACGGGCCTCTGCTAAATGCTGTATGAAAAGCTCATCGCTCAGGGTCAATTTCCAGGTGAATAGAGTCATCCTGCATAAGGAAAAACTCAGAACAAACCGAAGCGCTTAATCCTGGGAAGAAGGAGACATGAATTAGGCACTCTCAGAAACTTAGCAAGCTAAAAGGTCTCTGGCTTATCTTCAGGTAGGAAAGTGTTTATGGACATACAACTGGCAAAGAGGTAAGGCTGTGCGGTGTAGATTCAGCCACATGGCTATGGCTCGGAGGTTGCCTCATGTGGACACCAATTAAACATTTGCCAGCCCATTATTGAGTGAAGCTTGGCTGCGGTTCCACTGTGGTCACATGTGTGTACTCAGTTGGTTTGCAGCTAAGCTAGGTTTCAGTTTATTGTATAAAGGCTTGTATGGAGGTCCCCTAAGACCAAGTTTAATTGAATACTACAAAACATCTAAGCAAATGCAACATGGCTCTGACACTGACTTCCTTCTATAAGTAGGATTTTTACTGTAATAACAAAATACAGTCGAAATTTTCCAAGGGTAGATCTGAAATATTTTCAGTATTTAAGAACAAGAGTCACCCATAGAATCAAAGTCCCCCAAGCATATGTAAAAGCAGTCAAGGGGAATGGAGGCAGAGATTTGTCAAGATGACATAATTAATAAAGGAAATTCAAACCCAGGCAGTTGACTTAGGATTGTACAAGTTCCATCACTAGGATGCAAGAAACAGAAAGAGAGAGAGAGAGAGAGAGAGAGAGAGAGAGAGAGAGAGAGAGAGAGAGAGAGAGAGAGAGAGAGAGAGAGAGAGAGAGAGAGGGAGTGGTATGTGAAGTGTTGGAGATGCTAATCATTCATTGTGGGCATTACCTCACAATGTGTATTACAAAAGACTGAGTTATATACCGTTGCATTATATGCCTTACATATATATAGTTTTATATATTTATCAATTATACTTCAATAAAACTGAACAGAATGAAGTCTCAAAGTGCTAAATGAGAACGGACAGTCTTGTATACTGTGAGCTCCAGTGGTGCCCATCAAGCTGCCCTCTCTTCCTCTACAGCACCCCACCCTGCCATGTGAGAGAGCATGCGCCCGACAAGGAGGCATCTGCCATGTGAGAGAGCATGCGCCCGACAAGGAGGCATCTGCCATGTGAGAGAGCATGCGCCCGACAAGGAGGCATCTGCCATGTGAGAGAGCATGCGCCCGACAAGGAGGCATCTGCCATGTCTCTGTGTAGTCCCATTGGCGGGGAGAGCCGGCAAATGCCTCCTGGCATCTCCATTGTTGGCAATGAGGTAGAAGCATGACCAAGAGATGTGTCCAAGCACCCGGGAGCAGCAACACCAGTGATGGTATCTGTTTGATTTTCCTATGGTCAATTAGCTTTGCTTTCCAAACAGTCTGGGGTCACAGCCTTCCATCAGACGGCCTTTCCATGCCCTGCCTGCTCTCTTCAAGACAATGATAGACTTAATGAAGATCGATGGCCTGGTAAGGCCCTGCTGGGCTGCCTTCTCCACGGTGGGGAGATGAGGCTAGGAGGGGCCTTAGGGGAGTGAGTGCAGATACTACTGGGGGCTACCACACCACAGTTGCTCCTCCTGCAAAGCGCCTGTCTCCCTGTTGACTGTATAACCAGGTTGAAAATAAATCCCTAATGAATATGCCTGTTGGTTCCAGCCTTGCAGCCCTCAAGCGCATTCTGTACGCTGAGCAAATCCTAGACTGTAAATGCAGAGCCTGTGGCAGCTTGAATAACTTTTGTTACAACCTTCAGGTTAGAAACTGAAGCTGTCCCTCATAACTTCCAGGAGCAGCTTTAGTCTCTTCTTCTTTTCTTCTGGCTCTGACTCCTTGAGCACTTCCCCTACTCAGAGTTGACATTAGTTTCTAAGCTGAGTTGTCCCGTCTCTTCGTGGGGTCTCATACTCCCTATGCCAAGACACCCATGATGAAGTACTCTCCTCCAAACTGTTTGACAACCCAACCCTGGTCACCACCACCATCCTCTTTCCCTAAGCCTTTGCTGACCTGAGTCAATTCCCTCACTCTACGACCATCTACTCCAAATTCTTCATGTGTGCTATTTTAAGAGCCCTTTGACTTGTTAGCAAAGGGCTAGACATTCGTTCTGAAATACAAAGTCCAGCAATGAGTAAGTTTAAGATTGGCCCTTCCCTGTACCTCCACTAATACCACTATGCATTATACTCTGTGTTTGCATCCCTTTCTTATAAGCAAAGATGTCCTTGGTGGGGTGATTTGCTTCCTCTTTCTGGAGCTCTACCTGGCAGCGATCTGTAAGGGGAGAGCTAGAGAGTAGGGATTAGGGGCCACCACTCATTCTTAAGATTCCCATCCAAAGCCTATAATCCTCCTCCTAACATCCGAGACGTGTGTGTCTTCTCTTAGACCCCTCTCTTGATAAGTCCCTGGAAATAGGCAACATGAGATGCATTCCATGACACAGTTCAAGCGCAGAGTAGCCTTCCTGCTGCAGCGATTTGGCTGGAATGAAGTGAGAACTCTGATTTTAAATTTGTGAGCTCACGGGAAATGAGTAAACCCAGACCTCTGACCCAGGAGACCAGTAAAGCTGATCAGACATTTTGGAGCCACAAGAGTCAAGAAAAGGACACAGCGAGTATCCCAATGTTGGAAGACCACCTCAACCACGCAAGGCCAGCCTGGTCTGGTGTCCTATCGCGACTTGAACTGCTTCCTATCCAGTAACAAAAAGAACCAGGTTATCCAGATGGAACTCAGTGTCCGGTCAGCGATGGACATGCAGACAGATGATTGTACATCAGGGTGAGTCACACAATTATGGCCTCAGTGAGGAGCCATCAGCTTTTGGATAGGTCTGGAAAGTTGTCAGAGATTATCTCCAATGTGCTTTCCATGCATCTTACGATCCTCCTGGCCTATTTGAGACCAGATGGTCAGTAACCTTAAACATATGGGATCTTGTCTTGGCCAAGTGTCAAAAGCTGACTTGATCTCAAAGTACCATTTGTGGTCTTCAGATCAGTGCTCACTTAGCCAACAAGGCTTCACATTAAGTAAACAGGTGGAAAATAGCACATCATGACTCAGACACCAGCCAAGCAACAGCTCATGGCAACACAGCCTACACATTACCGGGCCTCACGGAAACGTCCGTGAGGCTCCAATCACCATACGTGCTCTGGCCACTCCAGGAAACGAATAGTTTCTACATGATGTGCGTAGTCATTTGCAAGACCCATGGCCAGCCCAGAAGGAACTCAGCCTGAATCACTGAGGGGTAAGCCAAAAGATCTTGGTGCAGATACTGGTTTTAAGACAGTTCAAGCTTTCTCCCAGACTTCCCACTTATCCACATGACCGACCGCAATCCCCGAGCTCGTAGTCTACCTTCTGAAGACCTTCTCCACACCCGTTCCCTTCCCCATCAACCCCTCATTTCCTTTCTTTCCCTAACAGGTCTCCCAGGGAGGGAAACGTGAGTCTGAGGGAAGGGGCCAAAGTCTCTTCTGCCTAGGGAACATATGCTGATGCTTCAATTGCTCAGAGGTCCCCAACGCCCAAATGGAACAACCAAGCTCTTTCCCCTTAATTTTCAGAGGCCCACGCAGTTTAGAGAAAATATGCTCCATGTGTTTCTGATCCATCTCCAAGCAGCTCATCCAGACCCTGGGTTTTAATAGTTTGTAGATACACATGATCCATTTGGAGGCAACTTTACAAGCCTTCCATGCTTTCATTTATATTGCAGGAGGAAGCTAGGCTGTGCCAAGAGTAAGTGTACTGGCATCTTCGAAGGTTCACATTAGGCCCACAGCGCTGAAACCTGGTTGAGTACAGGCCATCTTTTGAGAAGGGGCTCGCTCATCTTTGCCCAGACTCTAGACCTCAAAAAGGAAGTTTTCATGGGGGTGGGGTGAACTCAGTGTCTCCAGACATTTCACCCTCCTGAATTTCGGCTCTCCTCAGAGCTTAATAGTGTTGGAGCAGAAGGCAGTACCCCCAGAGAGGCTCATCTGTCATAGTCTTTGGAGGTAGTTGAAATGAACTTTGAGCATAGAAGCATTAATTTTGTTTTCTGGTTGGGAGGTGTTGTGGGAGGTTCAGGGCAACAGGAGAAAGGGATAACACTCCCTGGTGCTAACAGGTACAATTAGCTCCCCAACTGTCAACACAGTTGACAGTAGTATGTCCCTCTCCCAGGGCTACAGCAGGGAACATCCTTGAGAATCAGAACCCAGGCCATTTGAACTTAGTATGAGTAACCAAGAAGAATGGAAGGAAACAGTCTTTCCAGAGAGCCACATACTTGGAACAGAAAGAGGGAGGGGACACAGACTGTCAGTAGAACACAGCAAGCCATGCAACACTTCTTTCATGTTGGAAGACTTCAGCCAAAGTATAAAATGTGCTGCTCAGGGCTCGCTCAGATCTTCCCTCCAGCTGTGGGACAGACATGTGGTGTCTGTGTGGAGAGAAGAGTGTGTATAGGCAAATCAGGATGTAGTGTGCCGGGAACCATCCTGCCTCACCCCTATCATGGGGCTAGCAGGGCCGAAAGCAGGTACACAGCAAGGCTGGGAATCTCAGGATCCAGAGGAATCCAGATTTGCACCCCCCCAGTCTACCACCTAGAGACTAAGTGAGCTTGGTCAAACCTCTCCCTGAATATGGGTATTTGAACAAAGCAGCGTCTTCAGTGATGGGGGGAAGCAAGGAAACATGAAGGTGTTTAGGAAAGGGTGACGTGTGAGTGGTGACAGGGCCAGCATTGTTCGGTCACAGACCACACACACTTCAGGGGACTATACTCTGCAAACTGGTTATGGGGTCTTAGCCCATCTAAAGGTGGGCAAGGTACTGTCTTCTTTGGAACTTGTGTAGTAGGCGTATGAAGCTCAAGGAAGGGACATTAACAGGTGAGCCTGAGGCCCCCAGGCCCTAGGTTTATGTCCCCACCCTGCAATGTAAGGCAAGTTGTTGACTCTTTCTGGACCTTGGCTGCTACAACTAGATAAAAGGGACTTATGGGCAAGAATTACAGGAGAAAATCACTGTGAAAGTGTCAGGTACGAAGCCGGTCGGCACACCTTTAATCCCAGCACTCAGGAGGCAGAGGCAGGCGGATCTCTGTGATTTTGGGACCAGCCTGGTCTTCAAGAGTTACTTCCAGGACAGCCTCCAAAGCCACAGAGAAACCCTGACTCACCCCCCCCCAAAGAAAAAGTGTCGGGTACCACAAGGCAGCCAGCACTGACACAAGGCAGTCAGCCTCAGGAGCTCGGGATCGCCAGCGGGAAGGAATGGGGGTTATGGAGACAGCGTGGGTTTGAGAAGGGCACAGATGTCCTCATCGTCAGCTCTAAGGAAACCACCTCACCGTGCGATCCTCGCAGTATAGAACATCTGCTGTGTTCGAGTGTGAAATGCCCCCTCCGGGTCCCGTCACCACCTGGGCCACGGCAGATGATGCTGGTTTAGGAGGCTGTTGGGAGCTGCAGACGTGGGGTCTAGTTTGGTGGGCACACAGCTGCAGGCACGGATTCTCGGGGCTAGCTCTCTGTTTTCTGATGGGCTGAGATGTGAGCTGACCGCACACATCCCTGCCACCGTGGAGACACCCACCCACAGTTACACCTTCCTTCTTGGACATAAAGGGCTGTGTGCCCCGCAAATCATGAGGCAGAATAAATCGGCAGCAGAGAAGAGAAAAGGAGCTGATACGCCATCCCTGGGAAACTAGGATACCGCACTCAGGCGGCAGAGATTTTACACTCTATGTCATCAGACGTCCACAGCCAAGGACAGAAATCTCCCTGGGCCTGCAAACATCAGAGGTGGACTCAGAGGTGTGTCTGTCAGTCACGGAACGATCTTGGCCAAGTCATTTCCCGTGATTTCCCATCTGCAGAGCAGAACACCAGAGAAAAACGGAGGGGTACTGCAAACCCTTAGCCAACTCTGAAACTACCCTTTTTTTCTTCCTGAAAATACTAAGTCAGACTGTCTTCACTTTTTCCTGGTGGTGATTTCTTTGTGACCAAGTAAACAAAAGCAGTGTTGGGCACACCGTGAACCCCTTCTGCTGTCTGACTGCCCGCTGGAACAGGCTAGGAAGAAAACAAAGACTTGGTCTTGGTGGACTCAGAAAAATAAAACAAAAAACAAAAAAAGATGTCCTGTTGGAATTGGTAGCTCACACCTGTGATTCCAGCACTCAGGGGGCTGAGGTAGGACGATGGAGAGTTGGAGTTCAAACAGGGCTTTCTGGTGATATGATTAGTCACAAACAAAAACAAACAAACATAAGGGCCCTCCTCTCTCCCACTCCCCTGCTATAGGCAGAGGCTGCAGGAGGAAGGCTTACTTCCTCACAGGCTGCTGAGGGGGTGGGAGGGTGCTCCCTCTCACTCCCTGGCCGGCCTTGAGGAGGCTGCCAGCTGCTAACAGAGCCCCTATTCACAGCTGCCTCCAAAGAGCAACAGAGTGTTTCCCTACTGCAAGCACGGGCTCACAGACACCAGGCTCACAAGGAGTTATTTTCTTAAGGGCAGATTTCTTCAAATTCCATTTCCTTCTCTCTTGTTGGTGCCCAACCCCCATATCCCCATGACTGCTGAACGGGAGGCTCTGTGGCCAAGCTTTTCTTGGATCATGTGAATTAAGATCAATAAATATCTGTGCCCGAGCATGACTTGCCCTGGCGCCTCGCTGTGTTCTAGAACAAGGGCTCTGACTGTGTGCAGCAAGCAGCCTCTCTGCAACCTGAACTGTTACACACGTCTATGTTGTGTAGGGATGCTGGGCACTCGGGAGGACATGACCCTTCCTGGGTGGAAATGAACCTAGAGGGCACCCTCCCAAGGGGGATTACTACTCTCGATGTTCAGGCCATGTTGGCTGAAACTTTCACTTTAAGATTTATGGGGTATTTCAGGTATAACTAAGCAGATGTGTTCTGAGAGCACAGCATGGTCCTGTGAGAGACCAAAGAGGAGCCTGTCCTTCCTGTCTGGCTCCTGCTTCTTGTCTACTCTCTAAGCCCCTCTTATCACCTCATTGAACCCACAGCCCTTTGTAAGGGTCACCCCACATAGCCCACACTCACCGGGAACTCCCTGTGCACCCCAAGCTTGCCTCAAACTGTCCAGCCTCCCAGCTTGGACTACAGGCGTGAGCCACCATCTCTGGCTCAGTGATTGACTCTTTATCCTCATTTGACTTACCTTTTCAGCAACAGTTTTTGGTTGATCTATCGTTCTTCATTTCCAAAGGGTCGCTGAGGAGCATGGGGGTTCCTCTTTCCTTTAGCACCTGGCCTATATCCCCTTCTCACTGGTTGACCTGGGAATGTGTGGATGATGGGGGCTGAGTCATCCATCTCCACACCTGCCCCTAGGTGTGCAAGCAATTGACTTCAAAAGCCATCATTCTCTTACATTAATCATTTCAGCCCCAACTTCTCACACAGGCCCAGTCCAAATTAGCATGCAGCTATCCAAGTCTCAAACTTAGCACGACCCCAAAGCAACTGACTCCTCCCTCCCACTCCAATCTGCTCAACTCTTCCTAAAATACACCCCTCTCTATTTTCTTTGTTTTATCTGAATCTCACGATCCAAACTCAGGATTTTTTTTATTTATTCACTTGTTCCTTGTCTGTCTTCCTCGCCAGATTGTAACCAATCCAAAAGAATAAGCCATAGCATTTCATGTTCTGTCCCATGACTCACCCGCTCAAACAAAGAGTGTGTAGTGAATGAATAAATACAGTAATGCTCACTTTTGCAGGACTGTTTTCTTTGCAGTTCTTGTTAGAACAATAAAGGCGTATCTGTAACATTGCTTCAACACATGATAAGTTTTCTTTGAAAAGGAACGTCAGCCCCCAAAACTTGGCAGAGTACTGTCTTACTAGAATAGAATAAATGTACTTTATTTTCATTGTATTTTTGAATACAGTTCCTTTCTACTCATGGGAAGTATTAATGGTTTCCTATTTATACTTGCGGCATAAAGTTCCCTTTCAACTTTATTTACACAGGCAACAGCAGTGGATAGGTTATAAAGACTGTATTAAATAAATAAGGCAGAGTTGGACTTCAGTTACTGGGTGATCAAAAGTAGCTCTCCAAACTGCAAGTGCCACGAAGTTAAGGACCAGATACTCTAGTCTACTCCATGAGTTCACACATTCTTCTCAGTTTGCAATCAGCTCCACCCTTTTATAGCCATCAAAATCTGAATGCATCACAAGCTGAAAATACATTTAATTCACCTAGGCTCCTGAACATTCTAGCTAGTCTAGCAAATCCTCTGAAAATTTGACTAGCCTACAGTGGGCAAAATCATCCAACACAGCCTATTTTGTAGCACTTGTGACTCACTGAATACTGTACTGAACTTGAAAAGCAGAATGGCTGTAAGGGGTACATTCTCACACTATTGTAAAGTCAAAAGCTCTTAAGTCATCTTAAAGCACAGTGGGTGACTCAGCAAAGGAAGGCCGTTTCCCAAGGCCGAGTAGCCAAAGCCAGCCAGCCAGCAGCTCCTGTTCGATTCAGGCATCATCATCCAGATGCCCTCCATGGCAGAGAACACCCTGCAGAGTAGCAAGAGTGAAAAGCACAGCGCCTACAGATGAGATGGGCCAGCAGAGCAGGCACCAGGGTGTAGCTCCATAAGGCAGAGGGAGTTTAATCAGGCGAGGATGGTGCTGCCCTGCTGGAGACACACATGTGGTGAGCAGCCACCAGGTGAAGCAGGAACATGAGAAGCATGCAGGGTGGCTGCCTTGCAACCTTGTCCACAGTGCAGCAGCCTGGGCCCTCAGGAATGGCTGGCTCCCTCTTCACGGGCAGACAGCAGACATGTTTGCTAGATATGATTTCTCCCTAGTTAGTGGGTGAGCTGATCCATGACACAGGCCCGTCTCAGTCCCCTTCGGATTCTCCAGTTTTAATTACTGCAAACTGAAGCAGCAGAAGAACGCTACAGGGCCCTTTGAGCTCTGACTCCTCTTGGGCTGTTGCATTGTACAAGCTGAGAAAGTCCAAGGTGGCGGGTTACTCCACACTGCATTCCTTCCAGGCCTTGTTAAGTACCTCCACGACAGGTGGTGTGACATTCCTGAGAGGCTTGGCCTGTATGGTGGCAAGGGTTCACTTTGCTGGGGCTCACTTCTAAGATGAGGAGTCACTTCTAAGGCCTTATGATTCCAAAGCATCCTTATGAAGCACAGCTGGAAACCAAGGCCAGATTGTTGCAGAGGGTCTAGGCCCATGCTGACAACTTACATATACTTCACCATGCTATACAGAATGATGTGCTTGTTGCTGAATCACATAGCTGCACACGTCACTAGTTAACCCTTTCATTGCTAAGTAATATTCCATTATATGGATGGACCGTCACATACTTACCTACTTACTATGGATAGGCATTTGAGTGGACTCCAGTTTTTAGTAACATATCAAATATCTAACCATTTATAGTAACTAAATATTTATAAACATTTGTAAACGGGTTTTTGTATGGGGCTTTGTTTTGTTTTCTCTTAAGTAAATACATAGAGCCATCATCACTGGGACTCATAGCAGGTACAGCAGTATTTTATGATTAGCTATCACATTGCTTTCTAGAATGGTGTTATTTTGTATTGCTACTGCAAAAGAGTGATTTCACTGTGTTACATCTTCATTAGCCCTGGTTGCAGTTAGTATTCTTTCCAGAAAGTTTGTAATGTGTGCTGAATATTTTAGTCTTTTTTCCACTTAGTGTACCTTGCTGCTTATTTTGTCTCTGCTTATGTTTTTAGCAAGTGGCAACATTTTTACCTATACACCCCAATAATGGTATAATGAATGGCAGCATATCCAAACCCATTACCCTACATACCTGAGCATTTTCTCCAAGTTAACTTCGTGGTTAATGAGAGGACACTCTGTGGTTAGATGGACTCATATTAGACTTATGTCACTTCTCAGTGTTACTACATGACTTTGGATCTGTGACTCACCCTTTTTGCCCTTTGTAGATTGTGTAATGTGAGCCCAGTCCCAGGAGTAAATGTGGATATTCCTCAGTTTATAATGGGCACATCCTGGTATGTTGAAAACACATTACTTGAAAATGTATCAATACTACAATTACCATAATTGGCCTAGCCTACCTTAAATGTGCTGTTTATTTTCTTTGGCCTACAGCTGGACAAAATCATTTAACAATACCTACTTTATATAAAGAATGGAGTAACTCATATTTTATTGAATATTGTGTAGAAAAAGGAAAAAACAGAAGGGTCATGTAGATTTGCTTTCCCATCATTGTAACGTTAAACCATATGTTAAGTTGAACCATGGTAAATTGGGGTACGTTTGTAACCAGGATCTAAGCCTTGATACATGATTCCTGAATGATCTGTGCAGCGGGCACACCAGTGTCTGCCTCTTAGGCTCCACCGTGCATGCCCAAAGCGACCATGGCAGGAGAGTGTCTGAAAGCGATGAAATTATGAGCAAATGCACATGAACTGTGGGACTCTGAAAGCAGAAAGGGAACAGGCCACCACAGGAGATGAGACCTAAGGGACAGCAGGTGTCAGAGTTGGAGAGTTGCCTGGGATAGGAACCAACCCATTGAGAAACCCTAGTGCTCCACCCCCCCATCAGTTATTCCAAAGCTGAGGGTGGAAATGGGCGAAGACGCCGAAATAGGAAGCCCCTTTCAGTTGACAGCAGCGCAGAACTCATTTGGCCAGAGTTCAAGAACACGTAGCTTAGTCCACATTTTTGTTGACCTTCTCCCTGCCACTGTACCTCCCCCTCTCTCCCTCTCCCTCCCCTCTTCCTGTCTAATCTATAAACACATGTAAATACATATACCAGACAATTGGAGCAGGGTCTGTAGCTCCCATACCCTAGAGAAGAGGCTGCTTTCTGTTCTTCGTGCTCCCAGTGGACTGTGTGCTCTGTGTCGCCCCTAGACTACGGAGATGCATGCCTTCACCCCTAACTTCACAGCAGGACCCTTACTCCCCACCTCCTGTGCCCTCAGTGAGCTGCAGGTGTGGCGGGTGGAGGCGAGGACATTACTGCCACGAGCAGCAGCAACCGTGGTCATCTACTGAAGGCGGCCCAGCAGTCCTGCCTGCTGTAGGGGGCTTGAATGCAAGGATGTTCCTAGAAAAGGTCCTCAGAGACGTAGCTTGACTGGCCCTTGGTTCTGGATAGCTTCATGTCAACTTAGCATAATCTAGAGTCATCTGGGGAGAGGGAACAGTACTCCCACCAAATGGACCTTTCGACAAGCCCGTGGTGCAGTTTCTTGGTCATGATTGGTGTGGGAGGTCGCGTTCCACTGTGGGTGGTGCCACCTCTGGGCTGGAGGTTGTGAGTGCTATAAAAGAACAGGCTGAGAAATCCACGGGAAGCAAATCAGTGGGCAGCACCCCTCCACGGCCCCTGCTGGGAGACGGACATCAGTTCTCTCCAATGGGATGCAGTGTACCATCGATACACTGCCGTGTCAACTACTCCAGGATAGTTATCAATTCTAATTGACCAACAAATTAGGACCTCACAGATTTGGAGGGTTGCCTGTTTATTTGGTGTGTGTGTGTGTGTGTGTGTGTGTGTTATTTTATTAAAATCTGGTGGGTTTTCACGTTGCTTTCTTTTAGGGTGATGTTGTATTTTGTTTTCTGGGTTTAGGGCATTTTTTCTGGATTTTTCATTTATTCTTTTGAGAAAGAATTTGAAGTTGGATGGGTAGGGAGGCAGAGAGGATCTGGACATGGATAAACTTGGGGGAGGGGAGGAATATGATTAAAATATATGTAAGTTTAAAAATTATTTAAAATAATAAAAAAAGAATAGGCTGTGCAAGCCATTAAGCAGCTCTCCTCCATGGCCTCTGCTTCAGTGCCTGTCATGGGTTCCCACTTGGTCCTTCCTCACTGATGAACTGTGATGTGAAACTGTAAGAGAAAATAAACCCTTTCCTCCCCAAGTTGCTTTGGCCCTTGGGTTCCATCACAGAACTAGAAACCCTGGGAAAGACATCACCCAGGCACCAGCTGGCCAGAGACTGACTTTGAAGAGGTCCTTGGACACTCCAGACTGAGAAAGGATGAAGCATGTGGGCTAGAGAGGAAGCCAGGGTCACAGAGATGGAAAAGAACGAGGGAAGGGTTTCACAGGAGAGAAGACCCAGCCCCAATGGAGGGGTCCCTGCTGAAAACCTTGGAAAATAAGTTCACTAGGGTTAGCCAGAGAAGCAGAACTGATAGAACGACTATGATTACAAGGGTATTTATTGGATTGGGTTACATGATGTCGTCTGACAACAATGGCTATCTGTTACAATGGAGTTGCTGAGGACCCACTACCTGTCCAGTCCACAAGGATGAATGTCTCAGCGCTTCCTATCTGTTACTGAAAGTCTAGAAGATTCCTGGAGGGCCAACTGGTCTTCAATCCATGCTGGAAGGCCAGGGAAGCTATGTTCCAATGTCAGCAAAGGACGGTGGCACCAGTGACAATGGCATTAGGTTAGATGGACTCACCAGTGAGACCTGAAGGCTTTTCCTTTCAAGCCCCCTTGTGTCTTGGTTGCCTCTGCAAGTTGCAGTCCAGGTTTAAGGTATGTCTTCCCACTATACTTAATCTAATAAGGAAAATCTCTCACAGGTGTACCCAGCAGCTTGCCTTCTCATTAACTCCAGAACCACTGAAGTTTGACAAGCAAGATTAACCATCACTGTGGGTGGCATCCTCAACTGCCAGCAG